ATTAGCAGATAGCCACTTGGTTCTCAAATAATTGACCTCCGAGATCGTGTGTCACTACACCGTGCGGTGGCCATGCCTGTAGCGACGTGGCTTACGCGCGTGTAGTGTGGCACGCCCCTAATAACTCGATAACACTTGTACGTGTGCAAGAGTGAGCGATAAGTGCACGTCCTCCGATATCGTGTCTGTGTCGCAGCGAGTCACAAGCACCTCCGGATGCATGTGCCAGTAACATGTCGTACCATGACGAAACGTTACACGTGCCGTCCTATGTGCCACTCGGTGCGTGCTGTGTGTGCATCGGTACACGTAACGTGTGTCGCGAGACGAAACACTGCGTGCGGTTGGGAACGGTAGCGCAGGATACCGGCGTGCCGTGCGTCCGTCACCGTCAAACACGCTGACCCTGAACCGCTGCGTGTGCACGTAAACCTGCGTGCCGCTGCGTGTGTACGCTACCGTGCGTGCCGTGGTGTGTGCGTGCGTGCTGTGTGCGCTGTTGCACGTACACGCGCATGCGGCTGCGTGCATGGCAACGTGTGCGTGCCGTGTGTGATCGCCCCGTTACGTGCGTGTGTCGCACGTACAACGTCGTGCCGTGCGTGTGAACGTACACGTGCGTGCGTGGGCGTGATCGCAACACGTGCTCGTGCGTGCGCTCGTGTCACGTACCACCGTAGCGCGCGCTGGCCTGTCGCGCCGCTCTGCGCGTCTGCCGTTCGCGCTCGTCTGTTTCCAATCTGGCTACGGCCATCCTGCCAGCCACGGAGGCCACGTTGAATGTTTGCAGGTCGAAGCGTGTCGGCGCATGTGTAGAGCCGTGTGGTGCAGCGTACACGTCGCGTTTAGTCGTGTCGCTACCAACAGTTCCTTTACGTATTACCTCGTGGCCGTTGACACTCGTGTAGTGCCAACAGTGCGATGTCGATGGTAGATGTGGCAACTCGACAACTAGGAGCGGGTATGCGCATAGAAGCAGATTACGTGCCGTGCTAAGAAGTGTGCATGAATACCGAGAAGGGATAGACGTCAGCGCGAGAGAGAAGGAGAGAGAGAGAGAGCGACCGAGAGGATGACGGCGGTGTGCATCGGTAACAGGCGGTGCGTGCGTGTTCGTGTGTACGTACGTCGGGTCGTGCGCTGCCGTCGTGCACCACCCGTGCGTGCACAGTGCAGAGAGTGTGGCACACTATAGACAACGTCGCCGTGCGTGCGTGTGTCCGTAAACACAGTGCACTGCGTGCAGGTGATGTGCATCGCGTGTACACTCACACGTAGCGTGAGCAGTAGAGGCATTAGTATGTACCAACGTGCGTGCGTGCGTGTGTGCTGTAGCACCAGGCCACCGTATGGAGGATGGAAAGACGGGGTGTCCAGCGTGCGAGAGAGAGAGAAGAGAGAGAGAGAGGAGAAGAGAAGCGAGAGAGGTCGAGGACCTACCAAGAGCGCACAGGATGAAGATATTTCGAGAGAGATCCCACACCCGAGAGAGAGCTATATAGCCAAGATACTAAGAAGCAGAACGAAGGAAGAGAAAAATGGAGAAGCGACAACTGCAGTCTGAAAATTTCTTGGCCCAACTTTTCCAACAAAAAACAACAAAATTTTTGCTTGGGGGCCAGGGAGAAGGGCGCGGTTCGTGCTGATTGCGAACCGCCCCCCAACCCCACCCTGGCACCGGGCCGCTGTTATATACTATATCATGATTATATATAATGATAATAATATCATATCTAAGATCAACTTACTAGAAGCTGAAGAGGGTCTATGTCCTGCCGGGGTACTGCCGGGAACGTCCCTGGGTAGCGGTCCGTATACCGAACGTACACTAGTACTATCTAATAATGCCGGACCTAAATCTTCGCCTACTCACACTATACGAGAACAGTCTATACGATCCCTAGGGAGTCGCTACGCCTACCTCGAATCCCTAGAACACTAACCGAGGTAACGCACACACCTAACCCTAAGTTTTAAGCATAATCAATAGTGACCAGGGCGTACGTTGCCGGTATAACCGGACCGTACCCAGGGTACGTTTCGGGCAAGTACTCGCTGTGGGGACATAGACAGCCTAATGAGTGGCCTTTACTAGATAATATCAGGAGCGTATAATGACAAATGCGTATTTGTCATTATACGCTCCTGATAATATAGACTAAGAATATCGTTAAGAATATATTTTGTCTATGTTGATAATAACAATAGGGCGTCAGTTATACAAGAGAGGCGTCAGTTTGGTTCCTATAGTATGTGTCGCACAGTGTGATTGGTTTATGCTAGGCACGCCCCTCAACAGCCAGCAGCCACGATGGCGTAGTGGATTTACACGGGAATTCATCAACATTTGCGTACGCAGGTGCAACGCTGCGTTGATGAATCGCACCTACGAGCTTTGCGTACGTACTTCGTAGAAACTCGGTGTACGCAATACACTTTACGCAACGTTGATGAATCCGGCCCCAGTCCCAAAACCACAGGCACAGCCAGAGGCAGAGGGTGAACACTGCCTGGGGGAAAAGGGGGGGGGCACCGGCGGGAGGCACTCCCTATATATGGTAGGTATGTATGGTAGGTATGTGGCGCGGTTATGACACCCCTTTTCATCCCAAAATTTACATACCAGAGACCCCCTTGTATATTTACCGTCCCGGAGCATATAGGTCCTACTTTTTCCCGCATAGACCCCCTTTTCACAGAGCAGCAGAGACCCCCTTTTCACATAATTATATTCCGTCTTGGTGCATAGTTACTACCTTTTTCCGCACCGGAGACCCCCCTTTTCACATATTTCCCGTTCCGGAGACCCCCTTTTTACGCATTTCCCGTTTCTGCGCATATGTCCTGCTTTTTTTCTGCACGTTCCAGAGACCCCCTCTCGCAAACATGTCTAGTTCCGGAGCATCATTTCCAGCAAAACCTATAGTTCCGGAGACTCCCAATTCCATATCTCAAGTGGCACATATGTGACATATTATCATCTCATATCTATGATTATCTGTAACCTACTTTTTGCCCCCCCCCCCGGGGGGGCGGGTGAACTAGGGTCCCTATATATAAATAGGAATTATTTATATATAGGGACCCTAGGGTGAACTAGGGTGAACCAAGGAGCTATATATATACGTTAGTCTATGCTAGAGCTCTAGTCTGTGCTCTGTGCAAGACTAGACAGACAAGACAAGACAAGACTATATAACAAGGAGAGGACGCGGATTGGCTGTGCGCGTTTCGCCTCAAGGGCGCTATCTATGGACCATAATCAGCTAAAACGGCTGTGCAGACGATCGTGTATTACCATAGACATATATTATATAGATACAACACACCGTATTCGATTTGGAAGTCTTACTGGTAATAATATCACTAAATATGACTAAATAGACATTATATAAGATATAAACCTATAGTTTAGGCAGTTTTTAATGTAACACAGCATAATTTTCATTAAAAATAGCTATAAAATACATTAGTCATACATTTTTACAAGCTGTTGCCAGTTTATTTACAAATAGTAGCCTAAATACGACAAGAAATATTAGGAAAACGACGCTAATAGGCCCTATAGGCCTACCATCTACTCTAGATATATAACAGTTACAT